TGGCAGAAGCTCGGACAGCTGCTGTAGGAGCTGGGAGCTGTGCTGGGTAGGCCTGAGCTGGGAGCGGGGGTTGGATGGGCAGGGCTGTTGTTAGCCTGGAGCCCAGTGGCTGCTCACTCTGCTCAGGTCCTAGCCGGGCACCAAACTCCCGGTGAGCCTAGCCCAGCCCTTGCATGGTTTTATGAATGTATGACCAAATGAACAGAACGTTTTAAAGCAAGCATGTTTCATTGATTTATAGATATTTACTTTTTATATTTGAACAGGTGATTTTATAAAGATTTTAACAGTATACTGTAATTTCTAAATTGCCCCCCACGCCCCTAATTTTGTACAACTCTGAAAATTTAGATCAATACAAATCAAAAGAAATGCTGATACATAAACAATTTTAGCTGTCAACATTATTAAAAAATAAAAATGGAATTCTGCCAAGCCTATTTACAATCATCTTAGCACAGATCAAATTACAAGTAAAATATCCTCAGATTTAAGTATCTACTATTAAAAAAAAATATCTTATAATGCCATGTTTCAGGCACTACTGATAGGTTTATCAGAATTTACAACTGAACATATTTGCTAAAGAGCCAAACAAAAACACACACAAGTTTGGTAAAGTTCAGATTTGGATGTAAATTTATAGCACAGAAGATCAAGATGGTCTGAACTCTGGGTTTTGTTTCTGCCCCTTTTAGCTATATGGAAATTGCATCTCAGATTTTGGATTGGCCCCACCCCATTTTTAACAAATGCCAAATACTAAGAGTAAATTAGGAACATGTCACACATATAGATTGTCATTAGTTTTGTGAACAAACATATGATTAACTCCCTGGTATCTTCCACTAAATCTAAAGCTAATATTATTTAAAAAAACAAGAGAAATAGAAGAACTAGCAGTAATTCACCACCCGTTGCTAAAATGCACACTTGACTTCCACTAAAAGGCATTTTAAATTTTTCCTCCTTGCTTCTAACTATCATCAGGAAAAAAATCTCTCTTAAGGGCTCACTGCACATTCATCTGAAATCAGACCTCTGACATCACTGTGATGTTTATTTATCACCTGATTCAAAGATTACTGATAGGCTTTGAATCAGGTCCTTGGAGAGTGGGATTTTAATGTCATGTTACACTTGAGTTTTGTACAAATCTAGTATTCTGACTCCTCTGTTTGGGGCACTGGGACACTGAAAAATGACAAGTGCAGTTCTTAGGGTTTGTGAAAAAGCTCTATGATAGGCTTACATATTCAATAACTATTTTTGTTTCTAAAGCACCTGGTAATCTACCCTCTAATACAAATGAAAATAGATTATCTTTCTGCAATACCCTATAGATTTTGATGAACAGATTCTAAGGTGAGAAAGAAACACTACCCTGAATCCTAGCAGAATTTTCAGGCATAGTAAAAAAAGTAATTTAAGTGACTAAGTGAAAGGCTGATCAATAGGCATCCTAACTGTATAACAGACAGTATGCACGTGTGATGTCAGCAATTTGCAAGGAGAGAAAAAAAAGTTTCTCAGGGGTGGGGGAGGGAAGAGCTGCAAGACAAGACACTAATGTGGCTGGGAGACAAAGCAATATGAAGATGATGAAGGAGAAGCTGGGGCACTAAAACAAGACTGCAGGGAAAGTAAGAAGAGGTGAAATGGTTTAAAGCAGGAGAGAAACAAGAGAAACTGACATGACAAAAAAAAGGAGGCAGAAGAAATTGGAGAGGAGAATTGTAGAGAAAAGAAAGCAAAAAGTAGCAGTAAATTCCTTTGTGAGTAAATTCCTTTGTGAGTAACCACTAGTTCATTACGAAGCCGGAAAAGATAAGCTCTATAAAGGAAAGTCAGAGTTCATTTGATTTAATTCATGAAGGCTGAAAAGAAGGAAGGATAAAGAGGAAGAAAAAGGAACATGATATCATTTGTTCTGGCTTTTAAGATAGGAAATTTAGTATGTGCAGCTTGCAGAGCTGACATGGCTGATCTGAGAGACTAGGAGCCCAAATCATCTTTCCAGCTTGTCTGATCACTTACACCATGGTAAAATGAATGTAAAAACACTAACAACTCAGAATGCTATCAGTTATGATTTTAAGCACGTTTACATTTGCTTTGCCCTCTCTCAGGATAGTAACATACAGTGAAGGATGAACCAGATTCTCTCTCTCTACCCAGATACAATTAGCCTAGGGCTGTCAGCTTCTAAGACGTTGTGGGCCACAGCAATGTGGGCCATACCAGGTGAGCTACAGGCAGCTGGGCAGCATAGATGCTCCCCTTTCCCCGGTTGCTCCTCATGGACCCCCCCCCACACTGCACTGGGCCTTCCTCCACTGCTGCACTGCACAGGTGTAATTCCCTCCCTCCTGCTGCAACATGCACCCTTGCAGGCAGACCTTGTACTGGTATGACATCCCTACCTCCCAGGACAGTCCAGACTCATTCCCAGCTCCCTGTGCTACACTGCACTGCCCCAGCCCTGGCACAAGGAGGGAGGGGAAGCCTAGAGACTGGCTGCTGTTGCAGCTGAAATAACAGCTGCAACTGAGTGAGAACCTAGGGGTTGCAGCTTAATTCCTTGTGGGCTGCATGTGGCTTGTGGTCACCAGCTGGACAGCTCTGAAACAGGCAGTACATAGTATCTCTACACTGCAAATTTTTTCCTTCCCCCTTATCATACCCAACCATAAACTGGCATTTTCATTGTGCCAACAGTAGGGTTTTACTGAGGTAAACTCATGAACTTTGCTCCAACTTCACAAAACTAGTCTTCACATTTTCCAATGAAAACAGAAATTCTGAATTTAATTTGAACAATATATTAACTTTAATTCACAATAGTTTGACTGATCATAGTGCACCAGATTAAAACAAAAAAAATACTTTAATTTTATTTCAGCATTTAGACTCACACGGTTGAGTATTCGGATAAAAAGCCCAGCAGTCCTAATGGACATAAGTTCAGTACTTGAAAAGGAGCTTCTGAATAGACTACAAGGAGTCAAGTATCACTACTGGAGTTGCACTGTTGCTAAAAGCTGAGACAACTTCCAGTAACAAAGACTCTTTCCTTCATCCCTTTTGGACTTGAACCTTTGAATTTAGATTGTTTTACTCCACTGTTTCCTAATAAAACAACATTTGTGTGGGAAACCAGCTTAGTGCATTCTTTAGAAACCAGGCAAGCCATTAATTGATCCAACATGTTGGCAGTTTCAGAGAAACTTATTAGACACAAGCAAATGATATTTTATGTTGAAACAGACTGAACTTGGAGTGCCTATGGATGTAAAGCCCCTCGTTAAATAACACTTGTTAAATAACCTGTAATATTTACAAAAATAAGGGGTAGAATTTGACCGGCTACCTAACCATATGCACTTTATAGAGAACAGTTAAAAAATATTAGGAGGGTAGGAACTTCTAATTATAAAGAAGCCATGAAAAGTCCTGAGGAACATTATGATCTTTAAAAATAACCTTCCACTGATCCAATCTACCACTTCCAAGGTGTATGAACTTGCTCAGGTGAACAGTTGCTCTCAAAAAGAGAGTGCAAGAGGTTCAGAGTGTACTGTTTGCTAGTAACTCTACTACTATGTTACTAACAAATTCCTTTTCCACTCATCCACTCTGGGTCATTTATAGCATTAAAAATGTCATTAGAAATATCAGGTTTTGCATCCTGTGTGTTACAATTTATCCCCAACTCCACTCAGATTCAATAGGCATGAAACACCTGGGCACAATTAACCGCTAGATGCAACCCAGACTCAGATTTCCCAAATAGCTGGCATTTCAGTCACCATAGATTGGACTCTTGGCACACAAGACCAATGACCCTTGGCAGAAAACTGTCCCTAAAAATAAATTTAATTAGTTGTTCCTACAAACAACATTATTTTGGATCAAACCTTGTAGGGGTTGTGACATGTAGGCTTCCCACCTTGAGCAGCTTGGTCACAAAGCCCAGCCCTACAGGGTCTGCTGTGCTCCGACTACCTAGCAAAGGTCCTTGCAGGGTCATGCCCAGAAACACTCCCCAAGTCACTCCAAACTTCACCACCCACCACTGACACCCACGACTGTGCATAAGTCCTGGCCGCTGTCTCGTCCAGCAGCATCCATGTAGCACCCAGGAGCCCGAGAACCCCGCAGGGGACAGGAGAGGAGGTAGGGAACCAGGAGGTGACAGGGGCACGCCCAGCAGCCGCTGCCAGCAGTAACCCAGGACACCTCAGTCTGTGGGAGGGGATGGCAGGGCAGACCAGGGGGCCCAGCCCGGACCCTCCCACTCCATGACATTACCCCAACTTGTTGGGACCTTACCCCGGGCAGCAGGCTTGCACAGAGCCAGGGTCACAGGGGAGGTGACAGGGATGGAAGAATAAATGGATGGAGGGATGAATGAATGGAGACACAGAGGGATGAATGAAGAGATGGGGGAATAGATGGAGGGCTGGCTGAATGGATGGAGGAAAAGATGGAGGGATGAATGGATGGAGAGATGGATGGTGATGAATGGATGGAGGAAAGGAGGAATAAATGGAGGGATGGATGGATGGAGAAAAAGATGGGGAAACTGGAGGAATATATGGAAGGATGAATAAATGAATGGAGGGATGGATGGGTGAATGGAAGGATGGATGGGGATGAATGGAGGAATAGAGGAATGGATGGGTGGCAGGATAGATGGAGGGCTGGGTGAAGATGAATGGAGAGAGGGATGGCTGGGGGAAGAGACAGGTGGAGGGCTGGGTGAGGATGAATGGAGGGACAGGTGGAGGGCTGGATGAAGAGACAGGTGGAGGGCTGGGTGAAGATGAATGGAGGGACAGGTAGAGGGCTGGGTGAAGATGAATGGAGAGAGAGATGGATGGGTGAAGAGACAGATGGAGGGCTGGGTGAAGACGAACCGAGAGAGGGAGGGCTGGGTGACGATGAAGGGCCGCAGAGGAGGGAGGGAGGCGGGCGGAGGGCTGCGGGCCCGCACTCACCGGCGTGGGGCATGGTGACGGTCTCGTTGGCGCCGGCCGCGCCCACGTTGTAGATGACCACGGCCGAGGCGTTGTGGGCGGCGGCGTGGCGGATCTTGTCGCGGTAGCTGCAGTTGCCCCGCGGGATGAGCGCCACCCAGGCGCGGGCGGCGGGCGGCGCGGCGAAGCGCGTGGCGGGGTCGCAGGCCAGGC